ATTATAATTGAAATTTAAATGATTAGCTCATTGAGGTATAACAAACATGTTGATCTTACGATGTACATCGTTGTATATGTTAACTATAATATGTTAGACATGACATACATAAGAGTGATATATTAGACATATAAACATATTCATCTTACGTTTTACACAATTGTATATGTTAACTGTATCATGTTAGACATTTCTTTGAGTAAAACTTGACATTATATAAACAGCTATTGATTGATTATAATCAATCGAGTGTTGATATATAATTAGTTGCATCGGTTAGTCGCATGACTTTACGTCAAAACTATACTTGTATTAGTACTAATAAACTATAACTTTTGGTTAACTATTGAAGAATAATATGGTTAATATTTCGTTTTGAGAGAAACTTAACCATCAAATTCAAATGACTAACTCATTGGTATATAATTCATTATATTGGTTAGTCAAGTGACCTTACGTTAAAAACTATACTTGTGTTAGTACTAAAAAGCTATAACTATTGATTAATTTTTAGTTGATTATAATTGAAATTCAAAATGACTAGCTCATTGAGGTATAACAAGAATCTTTATCATATGATTTACATCGTTGTATGTTAGACGTGATACACATAGTACAAAATATGTTAGACATTATATAAACAACTATTTATTGACTATAATCAATCGAATGTTCATATATTGCATTGGTTAGTCGCGTGACTTTACGTCAAAAACCTCTAGTTGTGTTAGCACTAATAAACTATAACTATTGATTAACAATTGAAGAGAAACTTAAGTATCGTATGAACAACAATTGATTATAATTGCCATACAAATAACTAGCTCATTGAGGTATAATAAACATGTTCATCTTACGATTTATATCGTCGTATGTGTTAATTATAACATGTTAGACGTGGCACATGGTGTTGATATATAATTAATTGCATCAGTTAGGCACATGACTTTGCGTCAAAAACTGTACTTGTGTTAGCACTAGTATATCACGTTATATAATATAACCATTTTTCAGACGATATGCATAACACGTTAGGTATTTCTTTGAGTAAAACTTAAACATCTTATAAACGAGTATTAATTATAATTGAAAAAATCAAAATGATTAGCTTATTAGGGTAACAAACATATTTATCTTACAGTTTACACCATTGTATCTGATAACTGTTTCATGTTAGACATTTCTTTGAATAAAACTTGAACATTACATAAATAACTATTGATTGATTATAATCAATTAAAATGCTGATATATAATTAATTGCTTTGGTTAGTCACAAGACTTTACGTTAAAAAACTGTACTTATGTTAGTACTAATAAACTATAACTATTGGAGATTAATATGGTTAATATTTATTTTCGAGAGAAACTTAAATATCAAATTCAAATAACTAACTCATTTTTGACTGGATGGTGTACAGCGGTTAAACTGACAACAGTAGTCCACAATGAAACAAAGTAAACTTTAATTAATTGAAAACAAGGATGGTGACATAGACTGAGCTTATGTGATAATTATTTGTCGCGTCCTACACCAGTGAGGAAATTGTTGATTGTGTTAATTACAGGCAACTGCGTCTAAGGTTCAACTAATACAGCTTTCTTAGGTAACTCTTTTCCATGCAAATGACTAATTCATTGAGGTATAACAAGCATGATCATCTTATGATTTATATCATTTTATATATGTTAACTATAACATGTTAGGCATGACATACATAGAAGTGTTATATTAAACACGTAGTATAAAATATGTTAGACATTATATAAACAGCTATTGATTATAATCAATCGAGTGTTGATATATAATTAATTGCATCGGTTAGTCAAGCAACTTTGCATCAACAACTGTAATAGTGTTAGCACTAATAAACTATAAATATTGAAGATCAATTTAATAAATATTTCTTTGAGAAAAACTTAATGATTAAATTTAAATGACTAACTCATTGGTATATAATTAATTACATTGGTTTTACGTTAAAACTATACTTTTGTTAGTAGTAATAAGCTATAACTTTTGGTTCACTATTAAAGATTAATATAGTAAATTCAAATGACTAACTTATTGGTATATAATTAATCACATTAGTTTTACGTTAAAAACTATACTTATGTTAGCACTAATAAGCTATAACTTTTTGTTCACTATTAAAGATTATTATGGTAAATATTTCTTTGAGAGAAACTTGATCATCATATGAACAACTATTGATTATAATTGAAAATAAAAATAACTAATCTATTGGTGGGATAACAAACATGTTCATATTACGTTTTACACCGTTGTATATGTTAACAGTATTATGTTAAAATTTCTTTGAGTAAAACCTAGCTATCATATAAACAACTATTAATTGTAATCAATCAATTGAATGAGTTATAACAATATTGTTTAAAAATCATTTACTTAATTAAACATGTTATTTTTTGCTATGGACACATTATTAATATCTTATAAAATTTATTGCATTATTTGTTATTGATTATTGATTACAATTGAAAATTAAATGACTAACTTGTTGAGGGTACAACCCTGTTCATCTTGCAGTATACATAAGATAATAGTTATTTCTTTGAGCAAAAATTGTTCATCATCAATTAAAGATTAATGATAGATTATCAAATAAAAATTATCAATTGATTATCGATAATCGATTATTAACTATCGATTATCGATTATAAATTAAAGATTATCGATTGATTATCGATTATCAATTAAAGATTATTGATTGATTATCGATTATCAATTAAAGATTATTGATTGATTATCGATTATCAATTAAAGATTATTGATTGATTATCGATTATCAATTAAAGATTATTGGGTTGATTATCGATTATTGTGACGTCATAAGGTCACGTGACCTTGTGCCAGAAGCCGTAGTGTCTTTTTCGGACTTGTGCCAGTAGCGGTGTCATTTTCAGGGGACTTGTGCCAGTAGCGACGACCACTTTTAAAATTTTCGGCCAAATATATTTCTATAGCCCCGCTTGTGCCAGTAGCGGTAGAGGGTACCTCCGACATATGTCTCTGACATATGTCCCCTATAGTAAACATGAGGAGTACCCTTATACCTCCGACATATGTGTCTGACATATACCTCCGACATATGTCTCTGACATATACCTCTGACATATGTCTCTGACATATGTCTCTGATATATACCTCCGACATATGTCTCTGACATATACCTCTGACATATGTCTCTGACATATGTCTCTGACATATACCTCTGACATATGTCTCTGACATATACCTCCGACATATGTCTCTGACATATACCTCCGACATATGTCTCTGACATATGTCTCTGACATATACCTCCAACATATGTCTCTGACATATACCTCCGACATATGTCTCTGACATATACCTCCGACATATGTCTCTGACATATACCTCCGACATATGTCTCTGACATATACCTCCGACATATGTCTCTGACATATGTCTCTGACATATACCTCCGACATATGTCTCTGACATATACTTCCGACATATGTCTCTGACATATACCTCCGACATATGTCTCTGACATATGTCCCCGACATAAGGAGTCCCCTTATACATAGCATGCTGGATATGTCATACCTAACAATGTTTGGTACCCTTTTGTGCCAGTAACCGCAAATCCTCACTACTTGTGTGATAAGTTTATTTTGGAAAATAAAATACCAGTTAAAAAGTTTGAGTAATTTTATATTAAATGACTAATCGAATGATACTTCAATCGTAAAGGTAAGTTATTAAACAACTAGATATTAAATTTTTTTATGAAGGTATTGTTGCGTTTGTAATGAAATTTACTACCAATGTATGCACAAAATAGATTTTAGTATGCATTAAAATATTTTAAACATGGTTATGATAGAAAAATCTTAAATTACCACCATTTTGAATTGGTAAAATTTTTAAAACTTATACTTTAATGAACGATTGGTACTATTTTCACTACTTGTGTACAAAGTTTGAAGTAAATCATTTCAGGTGTTCAAAAAAGTTATGGATATATTTGTAAAAATCGCATGTAGACAGACAGACAGAAACCAGACATTTAGACCCATATTGATGTGATGTTATTTTACTGTTTTGACCTGAGGAACGAACATACAATTTTTTTTTCGAAAGATATTATTTACATCCTGTATATTTAATTATTTTAAATCTATAGAAGAAAAAAAGTATAAACAACAGTTCGTTCATGACTCCAGTTGCAACAGTTAGTTTGTGAGGAGTTTCTGGCAAAATAAAGGTATTTGACTCTAGTTTACAGAATTTTGTTTTAGTTAGGGCATTTCTTCTGACTGACAACTCAATATAGAAATACAGTAGCAATTATTATGCTTTAGAAAAAAAAATGGGATTATATTTGAAAGTTTAAAACATTTGTTCCCGATTGTTTGTTAATGCAATCATTATAACATTGTATTTTACGTCAGTTCATTTAAGGCTTCTACCGAACCAGTCCCAGTCAAGTTGGTAGGCATTAAAAGGTCTACATTCGTGTATTTACAGATCATACTTAGTAGGCCTACTACTACAATTCATATTTCAATATCATACAAACTACTATCTACAAATATTGAAAATTCAAAAATTCAAAATTGACCAAGCTATGAGCTAAATAGATAAAAATCTGTAAAATTTCAAGTTAGTGACAATAGTGTACAACAATAATTATATGCTTAAGATCAAATACTATATTCAGCATGAATATATTGAAATTTAAATTACATCATTCATATACTAGTACTATGATCGATGGAAAGCGCCCACTTATTTATGTTATAATTTCCGATTGATGTAGGGGGCCTATTAGATCATTTGTTGATAATTTGCTAACCATCCGATCTGGATAATCTTGGAGTGGGTGGAAGTTTAAAGTCTTGATCCATTTAAAACATAGCTTAGCTAAACTTAAAATGTGCATATGATAGTTTGTATGATATTTCGCGCTTCTTAACTAACTATTGTACTGAATGGCCAGTCTCACTCACGGTTACATCCCAGGTCGTGGACAGTTAGGAACACAGCTCTCTTGTCTTGTTGTGAGACATCACCCTGAAACACACCATCCTCATCAACTCTTCATGTTGAATAAAATTAAGTGCCTACCTAGATTTTATAGGATAAATATTGCATTTTCCTCCCAAACAAATAAATAACTGCCAGAAAGTTTCACTTTAAATTTGGAAGATAATTCAACTGTTCAATATTTATTATCTGTTGTTTACAGGTAATTTTTATCTTATTAATGTATCAAGAATAGCCACAAGAAAAAGTCCTACAACAAACAATGTAAAAATCCACTCAATATAACAAAGTGATGCCTTTTAGGGCTGAAAGAAAGGTGCTGTCGCTACTCATGCTAGGCGCAAAGGAGACATGTCATAGCATAGTGACTCCTTATTTATTTAGAATTTCAAAGGAGACAGGGTCACTTCAAATTCGTTGAGAATGCCATTCTAAAAATCCAGTGCCATAAAGACATGGGGAATGGTTAATTATTTATCTTTCAATGTACTGTCTAACATCGACATACTGTAATAAGGCGATGACAAAGTTCACCTTGTCTGTACGACATCAACATCTCAAGATGAAGAGATGTTTCAACTTATTTGAATAAACACAACAATAAAACGGAAAGATGAAGAGAAAGTTCAACAAAACAACAATTCCTGGTGCAAAGAGCAATATTTTATGGCAAAAAAACAACATCTGAACTTAAGATCCGACCAAACGTGGCAATGTAAAGACGTTCAACTTGTAATAAAAATAACAGAAAAGCAATCATTCTATCTGCACAACGTCTATATGGAGTACCTAATAATGTAAAGCACTTAATTTTGTATGAAAAAGTAAGTAACAAAAGAAAGTGGATTGAGCGTTTATCTTAATATGGACGACGTAAACATAATAACGCTAGTCGGTTCACCGTCCTGTGTTGGCAACAACCGGGAATGAAAACGTCAATCTTGTATACAACATCAACATCAACATTGAGGTGCAAAAACCTTCAATGACTCACTGTTTTGATCATATAACAAAAATTAAAAAAAATATTTTCCGTTACGACAGAGAAATTTGAAGAATTTCAGGGAATAGAGGGAACCTCGTGTCGGTATCAACCTCAGTAACAACGATTACATCACATCAATACACGATGATGTAGAAACACCACAGCTACAAGTGTCAGAGACAAATCGATCTGACAACGTGTCACCGCTGAGAGTCCTCCCTCTCGCTGAGTCAATGAACCCTAAGGAGTTCCACCACCTTGACCTTGTGTCAATGTAAACCTCAGTAACAACGAGTACATCACATCACTACATGATGATGTAGAAACCACACAGTTACAAGTGTCAGAGATAAATCTATATGACCACATGTCTTTACTGAGAGTCCTCCCTCTCTTAGAGTCATCGAACCTTAATGAGCTCCACCACCTTGACTTCGTGTAAGTGTTAACCTCAGTAATAACGACTACATCACATCAATACACGATGATGTAGAAACACTACGTCTACAAATGTCAGAGACAATTCGATCTGACCTCGTGTCTCTACTGAAAGTTCTCCCTCTCTAAGGCCCCGGCCACACGAGGCGGTTTAACCGCGCGAAGTTAAGGGGTTCGACAACACATTGAATCAAATGAGAGTGGCCACACGAGGCGAAGTTTAGCCGCATGTGCGGTTGAGCCGCGACATGTCGTCCCTCGACCGCGCGAAGTTAAGCCGCGTTGGAGGGGATGACACACGTAGTCTTATGAGAGTGGCCACACGATACGGTTCGACCGCGCGGCAGCCGCGCTTATTGGAGATATGCTCCTTACATTTCCAGTGTTTTTTTAGTTTGTTTTGTGTGTTTGTTACCGGTTTTGTGGTGTTTAAACAATGTTTCATGTTGTTGTCAGACGTTCCTAAGCACTAATTGAACTTCTCATGAGTGTATCTTCTTTAGTTGCATGTGGTTGGAGCAATTCAAGTAACTCGTCAAACGATGCTACAGACATACGATAATAACCAAAAAAACTCTGAAATATGGTTTCGCATGTGCTCGTAAAAGGTTTAGAACACATATGGTTTTTCCGTTATGAAAGGATTAATCTAATTATTTCTTCTTATCATTACGCTTCTAATGCACAAACTAACGTGTTTCGTACATGACTAAAAAGATTGAACTGAACTATGTTTTAATAGAGTACTGATACTGGGAAAACCCAACAGGAAGCGGTTCATCCGCCCCGTGTGGCCAGGTACTTCGCGCGGCTTAACTTCGCGCGAAGATAAGCCGCGCGGCTTAAATTCGCCTCGTGTGGCCGGGGCCTAAGAGTCGATGACCCCTAAGGAGCTCCACCACATTGACCTTGTGTCAGTGTCAACCTCAGTAACAACGAATACATCACATCATTACACGATGATGTAGAAACACCACAGCTACAAGTGTCAGAGATAGATCGATCTGACCACGTGTCTCCACTGAGAGTCTCCCTCTCGCTGAGTCAATGAAACCTAAGGAGCTCCACCACCTTGACCTCGTGTCAGTGTCAACCTCAGTAACAACGAATACATCACATCAATACACGATGATGTAGAAACACCACAGCTACAAGTGTCAGAGCCAAATCGATCTGACCACGTGTCTACTGAGAGTCCTCCCTCTCACTGAGTCAATGAAACCTAAGGAGCTCCACCACCTTGACCTCGTGTCAGTGTCAACCTCAGTAACAACGAATACATCACATCAATACACGATGATGTAAAACACCACAGCTACAAGTGTCAGAGCCAAATCGATCTGACCACGTGTCTCTACTGAGAGTCCTCCCTCTCACTGAGTCAATGAACCCTAAGGAGCTCCACCACCTTGACCTCGTGTCAGTATCAACCTCAGTAACAACGAATACATCACATCAATACACGATGATGTAGAAACACCACAGCTACAAGTGTCAGAGCCAAATCGATCTGACCACGTGTCTACTGAGAGTCCTCCCTCTCACTGAGTCAATGAAACCTAAGGAGCTCCACCACCTTGACCTCGTGTCAGTGTCAACCTCAGTAACAACGAATACATCACATCAATACACGATGATGTAAAACACCACAGCTACAAGTGTCAGAGCCAAATCGATCTGACCACGTGTCTCTACTGAGAGTCCTCCCTCTCACTGAGTCAATGAACCCTAAGGAGCTCCACCACCTTGACCTCGTGTCAGTGTCAACCTCAGTAACAACGATTACATCACATCAATACACGATGATGTAAAACACCACAGCTACAAGTGTCAGAGCCAAATCGATCTGACTTCCCGATCATATTTTCCTAATTTTTTCATTAATAACACACCTTAGTTTATGAAACGTTAAAACTATTAAGTAAGTTTATTAAGACAATAATAGGTTTTTTACATACCTCAGTCAAATAGTCCAAAAATGGTATTGCTCAACAGCTTACATGTTTCGTTGCGAAGACAACATTATCAAAGCTTGCAACTCGTCAAAAACACATTTAAAACACGAACACGAACACAGAAGACATTAATACGGTACGAATACACAATTGACATTTAGATAGCGCTATCATAATACTGATTTGGTCCGGCGCGGCGCGGGGCTGGTAGCAGACTGGAGGTCACGTCACATCGTCTCCTCTACTGTTATCACTGATGTTATCAGATCTTCGATCAGCTGTTCCTGAGTTTAATATTGTATTAAAAATCGAGTGAGACTGGAACTGTAATTTTTCGTTAAGGATGTGGTCCTTACACTGTTCGTCATTATAAATTTTATAAATCTCGAACTCCTCCAAGGTGTCAAGTTTGCTACCTTTCCCACAGACATGCAGAATTTTTAAACCATCGTCAACGCTACTCATTGAGTGATTTGAATCAATTGATGTATGATTTGATTTGATTTGAGGTATGTAAAAAACCTATTATTGTCTTAACAATATAGTCCAGGGGCCGAAAACATGAATTTTGATTAAGTTTATTAAATAATCACATTTATAATATGAGTAAGATAAAACTATTTACCTGGACATGAATAACTAAGTCCCCGCATCGGTCTGTCTTTACAACGTATCTCTGAAACAGAATAAAAATTGTTATTAATACCCAGAAATAAAGTGGAGCAACTGACATTTACATTTGAATCTGCTATTGTAAATTAACTAGAGAAATGACTGAATTTAATTTACAAACAGGTAAAAAACTTAATTTATATATTCCTATTTAAATGTATACATTTTGAATCTCTTAACTGATTTATGTATACGGATGAAAGATTCTTATGCATTTTTGTCGGGTTGTTTAGTATTTTTGGTTGTTAAAAGTACACGAGAAGTAATAGAGGTAAATCAATACTGTTCCCTCCTAAAGTTTTGGTCGGCGATTCAAAACTGACTTGAGAATAATAGTTTTGTTTGTTTGGTTTCAACTCTCGTATTTTCGCTGCGCCTCGTGTGTCAGGAAGGTGATTTCAAGTCCTGACGGAGACTGATTATCCCTTCACCTTCGGGTCAACAGAGTATTATTAGATACCCCTTCCCCATCCCTATATAACCGTTCCGAAACTGAATTGGCTTTTGTTGTTGATAACCAGCCAAGAGACTCGGGTCGCCAAGTATTGTTTGACTGTTCCCCCAACAACTGCAGCAATACAAGTAAATAACCTCAAATAAATATTTGTAATGTTTACATTGGAAGAAAATAGACACACGATTTGTTCGACACCTTGTAACTTCAATAATCTGATTACTTACTGCATCACTGCAATATTAAGAAATACAGGTTTAGTTTCATAACGATCACTATATTTTACATTTTCCTGTCCTGTACAGAATAAAATAACCAAGTGAAGCATGGGAGAGATGACCCTTGACATTGTAAAGTAATAGGATGTCTTGATGATTGATATGCGACGTAGTAGCTAGCGAGAGGGGGGGTGGGTGGATAGGGGGGGGGGGTCACTTGCGTGGATGGGGGGGGGGGTCACCTGGTGAAGGCAAGTGTTTTCTCTCTCACATCTTGAGTTGTAGTGGCAGTGGAATATTATACGACACTGTAGGGAAATTTAGCAGAAAAGCCTAGTATTTATGCTTTTTCCAACAAATTTATTAAGTAGAGGTATTCTAGCAATGTTACTTCAAAACAACATGTCAAAATGTGTATCAGCGTTATACATACCCTTTCTAATAAACACTACCATATAATTAATTCCAGTGTATCTGTTATGCTAAGAATTGCAAATTGTAATTAAATTACAGTTAAACTCGTCCAACTTTAACATGATCATTACGTCTTGTAGTTAAAAAGAGATATAACTAGTGTATATTTTTATGACAAGCAATTGTGCCTCTTGTACAAATGATTCATTGTTATCTTCATGCATGTTTCATTTTTAAATCTGTAGCCCCGCGATATTTTTGGTTGCTAACAGACTGATGTTTACACTGTGAAATGAACTCTGTAAATACCCATTACAAGGTTCAAAAGTAAGGAATACCTCTTATGATATTGTTTATTCCATATAAATTATTTTAACTTTACATGAGGATAGCTAAGTACTTTTCCTAAGATAGTCTCAGCTAAGATATTGGCTAAGTGTATTTAACCATAGTTAACGAATGTGACATAACCAACAAAACTAATAAAGTACTAGAGTTTCAATTTAGTCTAAGAACTTTTCCAATCGAGTCCACAGTTAGACGGGGCCATTATATTGTTTGTGTCTCGCTCTTGTTTATACGGAGTAATTAACTAGCGGAGATTGGAAACATCCTGCAGTCACTACGGAAGAAACAATTACTGCTCTATAGAAACCAATTATTGCTCTAGGTGACCACTGACCATTGACTACTGAGCATAGTACCAACACTGGTCTTTTATTGGCAAGCTAATGGAATAATTATACTAATTAACTGTGCACTAGATTTAGTTATCAGATTTGCAGTTTGTCTACGGTTTTTGGTAAGTTATGTTGTGACTCACTCGTAAACTCACTCAAAGATATTTTAACTTTGAGAGGGGATAGCCCAACTCCGCGTGGTGGTCACTTTTAGCGTATAGTCAAACTCCGCGTGGTGTCCACATCAACTACTTATAAAAAAAACTAAAAAAAAAATATTTTTATAAGATATAAAAAAACTTATGCCTGTAAATTCTGAGTAAAAAATGTGTTGATTGTAAAGTAAGATTTTTTCAATACAGCTGATTTATCATGAGTAGCTGTAGGACTGATGAAGAGTTTAAAATATTTCAATTAAATATTCGAAGTCTAAGAAAACATTTTGATGAACTTATTTTATACCTAAACACTTTAACATTTTCTTATGACATTGTTGTATTAACGGAAGTATGGATTAAGAGTGGAGAAGAAAATAAGTACAACATTCCAGGATACAACTTGTTGTTGAGAGACAGGCCAGACAACCAGGCTGGTGGAGTTGTTATCTATGTGAACTCTGCCCTATCCTACTCATGCCGACCCATCCTTCTGCCGACAGCTGAGATTCTCAATGTCGTCTTCACCTTATCACATAAAAATACCTCAACTTCACTTTCACTGTTTGGAGTTTATCGTCAATGTAAACACAGTTATAATAATTTCAAATCCGATTTTGAAAATTTGTTATTAGAATCAAATGACCCTACAATTTTTGTTGGAGATTTTAACATAGATGTATTAAATGATTCTGGATCTAAATCTGATTACCTTAACTTAATTTCTGCATATGGTTTTACTAATTTAATTAATCAGCCTACTAGGGAGATAAATAATAGTGCATCTTGTATTGACCATTTGTTAATAAGAAATACAAAAAGAATTGCTTTTGTTCATACTGTTGATAAAATAGGTATAACAGATCATTACGGAATTAGTTTGTTTTTGTCTGAATTAATTAATAGTAATAATAGTATAGCATTTAGTAGTGTCTTGGATAAAGATTTGTTTCGTCGTAAGCTTAAACTGTCCGATTGGCAACCTGTTTTTGATGAAGATAATGTGAACAAATGTGTAGAAAATTTTTATGATATCTATCAAAAATGTGTTGATAGTTCTTGTTATTTAAAAAAACTGAACAACAAAAATAAAAAAAGGAATGAGTGGATAAGCAATGAACTCATAAATTTAATAAACAATAAAAACAAACTTCATAGCATGGTTTCAAAAGATAAAAACAATGTTCAGTTGAAAATGCAATATAAAAACATTTCCAGGCTGGTGACTAGAAAAATTAGGTTAGCTAAGAAAAATTACTACTCTAGTCTGATTGAGAGGTCTAATGGGGATTCAAAGGTTTATTGGAGTGTTATAAAAAAAATAATTAGAAGTAATAAAAGTAATTTATCTAGTTTTGAGATAGATGATGTCCTTATTGAATGTAGTGGCAGTGAGAAAGTTATTGCAAATAAATTTAATGAATATTTTACACAAATTGTACCTGAATTAAAGCATGAGAACTTTGGCTGTGATATGTTTGTGGAAGATTATAGTACTTATGATATTTTTATTAGAGATTTTGTATTTATTGAGTCAGACATTGTAGATATAGTTAAATCTTTAAAAAATAAGGCTAGTGCTGGGATAGATGGTATTAATATTTTTATAATTAAGGATAACTTAGATGTATTCACCCCATTGTTATGTAAAATAATTAGAATTTCCTTGGATCAAGGTGTCTACCCAGACAGGTTTAAGATAGCATCGGTAGTACCGATTCATAAGTCTGGAAGTTTATCTAAAATTTCATCATACAGGCCTATCTCCGTTATAAGTACTGTAGCTAAAGTTTTTGAGACTTTGGTTAAAAAGAGGCTCATGGAATATTTTTCTAGTAGATCTCTTTTCTCTCAAAATCAATATGGGTTTTTGCCAGGTAAAGGCACTGATCTTGCTTTAGAAAGACATGTCAGTACTATCACTGATGCCATTGACAAACGTAATTATACATTGTCTTTGTATTTAGATTTTCAAAAAGCATTCGATGTTTTGGATCACAATGTGCTGTTTTCAAAATTTAGAAAATATGGCATAGGTGGTAGAGCTTTAGAGTGGTTGCAATCTTTTTGTAAAGGAAGAAAGCAGGCTGTGAAAGTTAATAATGTTTTGAGTGAAGTGCTTGATTTGCAATTTGGCACCCCTCAAGGAGGGGTTTTGGGCCCCATTATTTTTTTGATATATATAAACGACTTGCTGGAGCTTGATTTATATTCAAAAATATTTGCCTATGCTGATGACACAGCTCTTGTGTGCTCAGCTTTCAATAAAGAGTCGCTGAAACTAAAAATAAGAAAAGATTTAGACAAGATATCAAATTGGCTAATTGAAAACAGATTGTTAATAAACTCCTTAAAGTCTAAATGTTTATTTTTCTTTGATTATAATCAATCTCGAGAAAATTTACAAAATGAATTTAATTTATTGTGCCATAAACACTCTTGTTTGTATAATTGTTCTTGCAGTTGTATTGAAGTAGTAGAATATGTTAAATATCTAGGATTGTTTGTTGATCATCATTTAAAGTGGGAGCAGCATGTAAAACAACTCTCAATTAAATTAAGGAAAATAAATTATGCTTTATATCACTTAAGAGACAACATTAGGAGTGAGCATTTAAAAAAGGTATACATCTCCTGGTTTGAAAGTGTGATGAGATATGGAATAGTACATTATGGGGGTACTTATCCTACCATATTACAACCTGTCATTACGAACCAAAGACATGCACTGAGGACAGTTTTTGGATTAAAAAAATATGATAGAGTTAGTTATCTTTTTGAACAAGAAAACCTTTTAACCTTCAATCAATTGCACGTATACTGTTTGATTATGTTTGTTTTTAAATATCCGTACATGTTTAATATGAAACCTGTCAATAGAATATCTCGATCAGCACAATATTACTTGTTAGCAGAAAGCTTTTTTAAAAAGGAAACTAGTAGGCATCAGTTTTGTTGTCTTGGTCCAAAATTTTTTAATGCATTTGTAAAAATGTTTGGTAATGAAGTTTATAATGATAAAAGGTCTGTGATAAAGTCAAAAGCTTTGTTGTTTTCTATCAATCATAATATAGCATAAATAA